TGTAAAAATCGATTATTATGAATTAATTGATTATTTAAATTGTAAAAATCGATTATTATGAATTAATTGATTATTTAAATTGTAAAAATCGATTATTATGAATTAATGGATTATTTAAATTGTAAAAATCGATTTTTTATGAATTAATCGATTATTTATATTGTAAAAATCGATTAAAATTAATTAATTGATTATTTAAATTGTAAAAATCGATTATTATGAATTAATTAAATTGTAAAAATCGATTATTATGAATTAATGGATTATTTAAATTGTAAAAATCGATTTTTTTTGAATTAATTGATTAATTATATTGTAAAAATCAATTAAAATTAATTAATTGATTATTTAAATTGTAAAAATCGAATATAATGAATTAATTGATTATTTAAATTGTAAAAATCAATTTTTAAAAATTAAATGATTATTTTAAATTATTTTCCTCAATTCCAGATCCTGCTACGAAAATATATTCCTGAAAATATGCCTTAAAATCCTATTTTTGATAATAACTAATTATGAACAATACAAATATGATTTTGTATAATAAAAATGTTGTTTTAGGCATATAAAACATTATGTGATGGATGACGATAAGTTAGAGTGTTAACACTCAAAACTAGACCGCTATTTGTTATCAATTCTTATGTTGATTAATAATTATGATGAATGATTATTATGGATGATCATGAATAATGAACTAACTGATCAAAATGATTATTGATGATTCAGCCATAAGAGTAATGAATATATTGATAATTATTAAACGATTTGTATTGTTAAACGGTATCTAGAAGAACTTTAAGATATATCTATTAGTTAATTGATGTTAAGGTTATCTAGAAGAACTCTAGAATAGATCTTGTATTAGAACAGGCTTATGAAAACATGAACATTTGATGAATTAGATAAAAATGCATAAATGAGATTCATAGACCAAACTAGAGGATCACTCGTTTGGGAATGCCCGATCTAATGTTGATCAATCGCTATATTGTTGTTGCCTTAACTGACTACAGTTAAGTGTCCGAATCATTTGCCTTAAACTAGTGAGAGTTTGAGTGTCTGATTGCCTTAACTGACTGTAGTTAAGTGTCCGAAATCGATTGCCTTAAACTAATGATAGTTTAAGTGTCTGATTAATAATTGCCTTTTAAGGATCTGGTTATGAAAATTATGATTTGGCCTTAAACTAAGAATAGCTAAGAGTATTGTTATTATCTGGCCTTAGACTAAGAATAGCTAAGAACATTGTTATGATATGGCCTTAGACTAGGAATAGCTAAGAGCATTGTTATTATTTGGCCTTAGATTTAAGAATAATTTAAGGGCACTGTCAGAATAATATCTGAATTGAATAAAATGTGTTGATATGAACTGAACATTATCAAAGCTGTGAATGTCTGAAATGAACATTGTGTGCATGATATCAAATGATTTGATTATGAATTTAGATTCAGTTTATATGGATGTTCGACGCATTAGATATGCTTACTCAGCTTTACCGCTGAGCGTGTAGTATGTTTTATTTGCTACACGCAGGTAAGCAGAAAGCACAATGTGATCCTGGCGGCAGATGGGGCGAGATTGTTGGGATGGATGTGACAAGTTTTGAAACAATTTATGATATGTCAATATTAAAATCGCTTCCGCAATATTGTTGAATACTCCGTACTGGATATGTTATGAAAAATATTATTGAGATTAATAAAGTGTGTTTGAAAAGTTTTAAATTTTTACGATTACCAAGTTAAATACTTTAGTCCGAATGGGGCTGCAGACCTGGACGGATTAGGGTGTTACA